GAATGCCACCCTAAGCTGCTATCCAGTCTGCCTATAATGCCATAAGTAGTAGCTTGGGAGCTGAACCATAGGTGATTGCCTTCTCCTTTCTACTTACCATAGGTGATGCGTGCATGTGTGTGTCTGAGAGGTGGGGAGTTTCAGAAGTGACTTTTGGATATCAAGTATGAAGAGGAAAGGGGTGTAGGCAGGCTGCTTTCAGAGTGTGGCAGGTAAAATATGAAACTTTAGTGTCTGAATGGGTGGCTGTGGGAAGTAAAGATATAGGAGATATGAAATAAGAGAGGTAGTGCTTTGGAAGGTGAGAACATGAGTGCCTGGGACAGCAATTGAATGGACATCTGGGGAAAATAGGCTATGGAGCAGGAGGCTGGGACTTTTAAAGTGTGTATTGTATCTATTAAGTACATAGTACTAACAGCTTAGTGGGTTAGACGGTCTGTAGTTACGTGTCATTTGCATCACTTAAACCTTGGAAGACATCGAAATACTGTGTAATTTTGGACAATTGTAACCATCCGTTTTAGCATAAATGGGTGCAATTCCATTGAAGTCTGAGCTTGAGCCACTTAAGACCCTCATCCCACCCACAAATGTAATCCTTGAAAGCGCCATCCCCATCCGCAAGCATTTGTCATTTGCCCTACATTTAATATAAAAGCTGCTCAGATATATCTGGCATACTTTACCAGTTATTTCATAAGCAGTACTATAGAAGGACTTGACTAAGTGCACAGTGATATCTGTTGTGTGTTTGAATAAATGTTTTTTTCCATATCTAGAAGTTGGGGTGGGGGAATATCCTTGAACGCTGGACTTAATCTGGTGACCTGCAGTAATTTAGAAAAAAAACCCTTCTTTCTGGGTAACTGTCTCATTTTTTATTTTAAAATCCTGATTAGTTCAGTTACAAATCCAAAACAAAAGTCTGCCCTTTAGCGAGCAGAATGTAGGCAGTGTGAGGAAATCTGCTGTGAAACTGTTGGAAAAGGAACAGCATGTCTTTTTCAAAATACCAGTGGAAATGCCACTTCATATGAGAGAGACTCTCTCCCCATCATGCCCTCTGTTTTTCCATCCCTTTGCTCTTTAGGAAATCACATTATGTCTTAAATCTACAAACCTGAACCACCCCAGACAGACTTTGCAAGAAGTGCAAAGTTGTTTCTTTTCATGGGGGTTAGTTTAAGGCTGCTGATGGCCATCACCCAGTGACGGAGTTGTATTTACACTAAACTTGACTATCCTTCACATATGAAACACATCTCCTTTCTTGGAGATAATGCGTTCAACAGCTTATATTGCACATGATGGGCTCCTGCACATGGAGCTCAGTGGTTCCCAGGCACACACACCCCGGACCACTTGAAAATTGCTGACGGACCTGGTGGACCATCTGATTTTTTTGCCTGTTTCAGAATTGTAATGCACCGTACTTGTCCTCTCTTAGTTTCCTCCCTTTTTTGTGCCTGCATCCTTCATTCCCACCTTCCATTCCTTTCAATTGCCTTCTCAGCCTCTTTGCTCTGTGCCTTTCCCTATCTTTCTGCCATCCATGGCGTCAATCCTCTAAGGAAGGCAAAGCCACCTTACCGCCCCATCACTTCTGCAGACCACCTGAATGAAGCTGATGGACCACTGGTGGTCCATGGACCACATTTTGGTGGAAGCCTTGTCTAGTTGGCAGGTAATGAACTTCACCTCTTTGCGTTGCAAACAGAATTTAAAGCAGATCGTGTTCTGTGTCCAATGAGTCAAATGGAAAAGAGCTATTGGATTTTTTCTTTTGAGTTCCTTGAAGACTTATGAAGGTTGCAGTACACTGGGGTCATTTATCTTAAGTCTTTTAAGTTGGAGGATTTAAATTAAAAACTGAGAAGACTTTAGATTGCTGAATAGCATCCATATTAGTGGTCAAAAAAACATTAACAAGCAGAATTGAGGTTTTGTTATCTCCCTGGGAACAACCTGAAAGACAAATGAGTTGGTGAAATAGTGAAAGGATCTGCTACATTTGGTACTCATTCTAGTTGCGTCTGTAGTTATCTGATATTCTCAGGTGCTTTTAAACAGAGTTGCTACAGCTCAAATCCAGAAAATCTTGAAATTCCTTGGCAGAGAAAATGCTTGGGAACAATGGATGGATATACCTGTATACCTGAAGGAGCGTCTCCACCCCCATCGTTCAGCCCAGACACTGAGATCAAGCGCCGAGGGCCTTCTGGCGGTTCCCTCATTGCGAGAAGTGAGGTTACAGGGAACCAGGCAGAGGGCCTTCTCGGTAGTGGCACCCACCCTGTGGAACGCCCTCCCATCAGATGTCAAGGAAATAAGCAGTTATCCTCTCTTTAAAAGACATCTGAAGGCAGCCCTGTATAGGGAAGTTTTTAATATTTAATGCTGTAGTGTTTTTAACATGTGATTGGGAGCCGCCCAGAGTGGCTGGGGAGACTCAGCCAGATGGGTGGGGTATAATTAAGTTGTTGTTGTTGTTGTTGTTGTTGTTGTTATACACCCACCCACACCTGAGTGAATTGTGTCACTCATTGCCATGGAGGAGTCTGACCCACTGCACATAGTCGTGAGAGCCATTTGACAAAAAGTGGCATTCGGTTCTAGCTGATGTTTGGATGTGGCCAGCATGGAATTTAGCTTGCACTTGCATTCCTCTATCTATCTATCTGTCTACCTACCTACCTACCTACCTACCTACCTATCTTTGGGAAGGAGCTGCATTTCCATAGGTGTTTGTGGAGAAGTCTATGTATGTGTTGTGTTAGGCATTAGGACTACAAATGAGATCTTCTGGGACTGATACACCACAGTGGTACCTCAGGTTACATACGCTTCAGGTTACAGACTCCGCTAACCCAGAAATAGTGCTTCAGGTTAAGAACTTTGCTTCAGGATGAGAACAGAAATCGTGCTCCGGCGGCATGGCAGCAGCAGGAGGCCCCATTAGCTAAAGTGGTGCTTCAGGTGAAGAACAGTTTCAGGTTAAGTACGGACCTCCGGAACGAATTAAGTACTTAACCCGAGGTACCACTGTATTTACATTATTTACATTAAAGCCTCCCCTGTGGAGTACAGCCTATGGTGACAGCCCCTGTGAGCTTGGTGCTAAATATAGACAGGAAACAAAGACAGTGAAGGGGGGGGGGAGAGACCTCTGGACTGTGTGTTTAATTAGGTCCAGCATTTGGCCCACAAGGCCATTTACCTCAGTGCATGCCCTCCTACCTAACACCTAACATATGATGTGATGGAGACACTCCCTGCAAAACTGACAATGCCTGAAAATCCCAGTTAGCCTGATCACCAGCACCTCCAAATGCATTTTGATTTCAGATTGCACAGAAAAGGAAAATCTGGGAATGTCACCTCTCCATCATCGCCCAGAAATATATATCTCCACCTTCCAGCAGTGGATCTGCTAATCAACCAAGATAAAATTCCAGCCCTGTGCAACACAGCAAAAGCACCGATTATAAATACAAAGTGCAGGGTGGAGATATAAAATAAGTAATTACAGCTAATTGCCTATTGGTACTGCATGCCAAAGTTGCAATGGTGCAAGAAAGCTCTGGCTCAGATGTAAACATGACTTAAGTGTTGTGATCATGGGAACCAGTGCTGGCGTATAACCGCCTCCTCCTCCCCAGTCGGCATTCTCATAATAATAATAATAATAATAATAATAATAATAATAATAATAATAATAATTTATTATCTGTACCCCGCCCATCTGGCTGGGTTTCCCCAGCATCTCTGGGCGGCTTCCATAGAAACCAAAGATACAGTAAAATATCACAGATTAAAAACTTCCCTGAAGTTACATTCACTGGAGGTCTCCAGGCTTCACTGATAAACAGAAGTGTTGTCAACAGCTCCATTCTAATATCTGATTTGATTTTTCTTGGCTGCAACTCAACAGTGTTTTATTATTTAATTAATAAGTGATAGACTTCACCCCACCCTTGGATCTAAGCTGCTTCTGTATGATGGATTGCCAGCTATTTCACCCCTCTGGCAAGTCTCCCGCGCCAATAATGCTAACATGATACGCTGAAGCTTTCCCCAACTTGTAGGACTTAAAAGTTGGATGCGAGAAGCCTTTTATCAGCTGCTTGCTCATCATGGAGCTGATATAGGGGCCTGGAGTCCTGTCCAGGCATATTTGCAGGAGGCTCTGCAACTGAAGGCACAGAGCAAAACTGAAGGTTGCTTCCTAATCTAGCTACTTTGGGATATGAATTGAACATAGCTTGTGTTAGACACTGTCCTTGCTTATCCATTTTGAATTCATCTGTGTTTGGCTTTTGCCACTGAGAGGGAGAGGGAGAGAGTCTGTTCTGATGCAGGGAATACCCAGTCAGCCAAGAGAAGCCTGATTAGGGGAGATAAATTTCTGCTGCAGCTCAGGAATGCCCTGGCACAATTTTGTCTCTGTGTGTACTTGGCTACTATGTGGTATGTGGATATTGCCATGGTCTGCTAATGCGGAAATGCTTTTCTTTTTGTATATTTGATGAGCTGATAACGAGAGAAACTGCTCTTGTCTCGGCCACCTCTCTGTAAAATGAGCTTAAATTCCTATTGGGTGTTAAGCTTTCTCTGTCTTTAAACAGAGTTCATTAGTATAATCCAGGAATTCCTCTGTAATTGTGAGCTTTTCTGTTTTAGTTACAAGCAACAGCAGCAGAGGTTAATATTCCGGGGTTTTTTTTTTTTACTTCTCTAAATCTTCAGCTAGAAACACAAGGATCTGTAGAGTAAAGCTTCAGAAGTGGACAATCAGCCTCTGTAATACTCTATAATTATTATTTACAATTTAGCTTCTGCAACACGCTTTCATCCTCTCCGAATAAGTTTGATGGCAGGGGGCCAGTTGAGACATACTGGGAAAACACATTCTCCTGCTATGTGAATTGCAGTGAGCTGTTTTGATTATCTGACCACTTGTGTCTAATTTTCCCTCTACTTTTTTTTTAACATTGTAGGTTTATAGCCAAGCCATGTGCCTTAGGCCTAAAAGTCCAGGCCAATGGACCACGGAAAGCTCAGCCTAATGCTATTCTTGAAAAAGTCTTCACTGCAATTACAAAGGTACAGTATGCACCTAAAAAAAATTGTTTACTTTGGGAGAAGGGATAGGTTTGTCATGAAATATGAAATAACTTGGGTTGGAGTGGGCCCCTTGGCAAAATGCCATTTGGTGGACTTCCTGATGGGCTTACTGTTTGGTAGCAGTGCTCTGGGGAGTGTCTGGCTCTGGGGGCCACCATTTAATGCGCTGGAGCGATGCTACATTGTGAGTGCTGTATGAAAGTGCTTCAAGACCCAGTCACCTAGCTCAAGGTGGCAGTAAAAAAGAACTGATTAATGTTTTAAGGGGCCCAGTGCAATTCATCTCCAAGATCCAAGATTGGGATGTGGGTTGCACGGTATATATGTATATTTATACACACACACACACACACACATATATATACACACACACAGTATATGTATATGTATATATATATGTGTGTGTGTGTGCGCGCGCGCTGAACTTTCTGCAACCTTTGTCCTTGTCTGAAACTACTGATCAGATAGAAAGATTGCAAGATTGGAACAGCAGTGTTAAGCTTCCGATTAGATATATTAACAAGGTACATGCACAAGGTACCATGGAATAGAATCTCAAAACCACAAAGGACGGTTTGTTCTTGTTCTTCATTATTCTTTGCTTCCAGGTAGGTCTGAAATCGTTCATACTTTTTTGTATGCCTGTTGGCAGATTTAGCGACCTGCAGGGACGCGGGTGGTGCTGTGGGTTAAACCACAGCACCTAGGACTTGCCGATTGTCAGGTCGGCGGTTCGAATCCCCGCGGCGGGGTGCGCTCCCGTTGCTCGGTCCCAGCGCCTGCCAAGCTAGCAGTTCGAAAGCACCCTTGGGTACAAGTAGATAAATAGGGGCCGCTTACTAGCGGGAAGGTAAACGGCGTTTCCGTGTGCTGCTCTGACTCGCCAGATGCAGCTTGTCACACTGGCCACTTGACCCGGAAGTGTCTGCGGACAGCGCTGGCCCCCGGCCTCTTGAGTGAGATGGGCGCACAACCCTAGAGTCGGACACAACTGGCCCGTACAGGCAGGGGTACCTTTATTCCACCTGCAAATCTCATTCTGATTCAATTCTTAACTTCAATGCAGCCCACTGCCCATGTATGGTGGCCCTCCAGAAGCTCAGTTAAAGCTTTCTGCTGTGCAACAGGAATTACTGCCTTAGAAAAACAGACAGGATACTTAGAATCCTTCATTCACTCTTTATTATCATTTATTGCACCAGTTGCAGACCTTGGCATATTTAAGATCGCAACCTGCATTGCCAAGGAGCTTTTCCTCCCTGTTTGTAGAGTCACATTAAACAGGTGGGTCTTCCACCTGCTCCACCCCACCCCACCCCATACATGCACATTCTAAAGGAGTGCAACTGTAACATGTGATATTGCTGAACATACGGCTCAGCTTTTAAGAACATTCTTTACATGCAGCTGTTGAATATTTATGAAAAGCTTACAAAACTTGGAAGCTCTTTGTCAGAGCTGCCTTTTATAATAGCACTCTTAGTTTGTAACGCACCACAGATATTAATAGGCTTTATACCCAAGTAATATGCCTACATTAGGAGCATTATTGCAAACTTTAAAACACACGCACACACATACCTTTAATACATAAATTAAACGCCAGAAATGTGGGGTGAACCAATGTGGCCACTTCCTGCTTGCAGTATGTTTTAGTTTTAATGATGCTTTTAACTTTATGCTTTTGTAACTGTTTGTTTTCCGATATTCTGGGATCACTACCTAACTGATGAAGAACAGTCTGCAAATAAAGTTTAGTTATGGGCTAAAACAATCTTCTCCAACCGGGTTGAGGGAATGTTAGTCATTAGCTTGTAGTTACTAATTGACCTTATGCTATCCTGTGTCATGTGAAATGTCAGTAAAGGAGTGACTTCTTGATCCTTTCCCTGTTTGTTTGGTAGCATCCAGACGAGAAGAGGCTTGAAGGGCTTTCCAAGCAACTGGATTGGGACGTTCGCAGTATTCAGCGCTGGTTTCGACAGAGACGCAATCAGGAAAAGCCGAGCACTCTGAGAAGGTTCTGCGAAAGCTTGTAAGGAACTGTTCCTGCCTCCCTCCTTTCCCTTTTGGGTCTGTGCAAACTGGATTCTTTGTTTTGCTCCACTGCTTATTTTTTATTTTTGTCCCACAGTCAAGGATAGGCTCCCTCCCCACTTGCTTCTCATAGTATAGCATTGCTTCATAACTGCAGTGCATGTGGATTGCAAAATCATTTCAAACACAGCTGAGAAAATCAGGTGTAATTTCAAGGTATGTAAAGGAACCAGGATATAAGGAGAACAGATTTGTCATTTAGCTGGTTCCCCACATCCAAACTCAGTGCTAGCTATTGTACAAGGCTGGCTCTGCAGCTATTGAGGTGGCCTGGGATTCATCTTAGCAGAACCTACTTAATAGGGTGATTAGTGTCCCTTATGCCAATTGTGGGAAAATTAGAGACCTATGGGCCGAATTTACCGTAGTTAAACCCTGACTGCCAGTCAGTTACCTGCTTTAGCTGTATCTGTATTTTAGCTGTATCTTCTTAGCAGCTATAAGGAGCCAGACTAAACAACTTGTTTCCTGCTGCCCCCACCTAGGATGCTCTCCTGGCTTCTGATTTTTAGCTTCTGCCAGCCAAGAGCATCTTGTCAGTTGTGGGGTAGGGATGTAAAATGGCTTATTGTTGTAAACAAAATCTGCCCTTTTTCGCTTATGGTGTATGCAAGAGCCCGCATAGAGTCCTTACGTGGGTCCCCTATTGGTAGGAGAAAATAACAGAGGCCAGCCAGAGAATATTGAGAAGCAAAGCAGCTAGTAAGCTTGATCTTTATTGATCTGTTGCAACAGGGTGCTCCCCTCACACTCAGGAAAGGAGGAGGACCCAGAACAAAGGTGTGCCTGCCCTTATATAGACATTTTAAATTCCCTGCCCTGGAGCTCAAGACCATCCATCCATCCATCCATCCATCACAGAAGGGGTGTAACCCAAGACCACCCCCCACAAACATCATACCTATATCACAGAAAATGTGGTCTACAACAGAAATTTGAATGTTGTTGTTTTTCCTGTCTGCCAGGTTATCTGATAATGCCTTATCTGATTGCCTTTCTTGGTAGTCTGCCCATTCCTTTGAAATGGTGATTACCCAATTCCTGTAACAAGGAAGGTTTTTTCACCTCCTCCCTCCTTGCAGAGAAACATTTGGTTAGCTTGGGAGTCAAAATGGTTTCAGGTTGGTCTTCCTGTGCTGATCTATGTAGGTGCTTGGTTGGTACATTTGTGAACATTTATTATATATATAAGACCTTAAATTTTATTATTACACTATCATTACTTTGTTCTAGTTTCATTGATCTGCCAGGTCTCCTGGCTGCTGACCATTGGGTAGACTGTTACCTGTGCTTAGTTTCCATAGTAGCCCCATTATTAATATGTTGGGGAATGGATCAAATCCAGCTCTGGAAATGAAAATGGAAATATATAAAATGATTTGCCCTATGCCTCTCTTCTTGAAGTCTATTTCAAGCAAGCTCTTTTATTTTGCCTAAAAATATCAGGAGCTGATCTCCTTGCGCTCAGATTTGTCAGCTGAATTCTTATCGCTTTCCAAAAATTTGAATTAAATTTCTATGCTATCAGGTTTAATCAGGGCAGAATGAACACTTAGATCTAATATTTTAAGCAGATTTTGCTTTAAGTGAACCTGCCATGCTTCCAGACACCATAGGAATGGGACACTGCTGCTAAGTAGAAAGGTGGCTGAGCCAGCAGCAGTCATTTTTGCTGGTGAACTGGGGTGCTCTTATGCTGCATTGGAGGGTGGAGAAGGGGCTGTACCATTAGTACCACCATTAGGGGTGGTGCCAGACAAAATAGGAGGGAGAGGGCAAATGAAGTCCACCTCAGGGCCTCTTCCAACTAGACATTCCCTTCTCCACTCCACGCCAACAGGGCGAGGTACCATCAACCGCTCAATGGAGAGGGGACTAATGCGTTTTTAATGTGTTAGTATTGTTTGCTGTGATTTCATTCTACGCAGTGGTTGCTAGCTTGTAAGCTACCACAGAAGGATTTGTGTCCTGAAAGGGAGGATATGAATATGTGCAATAAATGTTGAAGGTAAGGGAATGGTGATTTCGAACCAGTTTATTTTTAGAATTTCAGGTATTAAGAAAATTATTATAAATTATCTCATCAGATAGAAAAACAGGTAATATACAACTCTTTAGGCAGTATCCAACGTATAAGTTGGATAGAGAAATAAGATGAGGTTTGTGAAGCACCTAAAGAACTTTTCAATATATAATTTATAAAACCAAGGTTCATAAAACGTGCAGGAGCATAATGTGCTACTCGAGCCAAGCCCTCGCCTCTCAGATTATTCCGAGGTTACTGAAGGTGCCTTTAAGTTGCTGTGATCTTGGCCTTGTAGGGAAAAGCTGCCTCTTCAGTTGAACACAGTTTCTAATTCAGGGCTTTTGTAATATTCATGTCCTCTGTTGTTGCTTCCTGCTTAGTGACCTGTAAGACAACGAATGAAAGTGCACTATGGCACTTTAAAATTTTAAAAAAACTTTGATTTGTGAGTAACAGAATATGAAGAAATCAACCATATAATTTTGAAAAGAAATTGGAAGTTTTGAGTCAATTTTTTTTTGCCACTTATTTGCCTTTTTCATAACATGTAGTTAGGCTTCCGAAAATTGGAGCCCCGTCGCATTGAAACTTACTATCCAGAGACCTGTGTTAGTTCCAAATGTGCAACCTTTTTAAAGAAAAAGAAAGAAAGAACAAAGCAGCATTAGAATGCCCTTTTGAGAACACCTGGGATGAGAATTGTTCTCATGGTTTTGTGGCTTCAGTGTTGTGGCTTCTACCAGATACTGCATTTTGCATATTTATAAGCACGATGCACCTTCCTGTGTACATCGTGTCTTATGCTACAAATCTTTTGTCAACAGGTTGACCAGTTTGGTAGCAGCGGCCTGCAAATCATTCACTCCTGTTTTAGTCATCACCACAATAACCCCAAGAGAGGTTAGACTGAGCTTTGAAAAGACTTTGTGGCTAAGCAGGAATTTGCACCTGGGTCTAGTCTATAGTTTTCCTGCTCAGTGTTTCTAGCCCAAAACAGCCTATGGACATGATCTGGAGGCAAAATTGCTGGGGAATAGCCATACTACATGTAAGTCGATTGCGGAGTAGGCCCCCGAGAGACTGATGGTACTTAGGAAAAGAGGAGAGTTGATGTTGTCTTGGCCCCCGTTCCCCAAACTTTATATAGAATTTGATGGGCAGCAAAGCCAATTTTGCAATAAGCTCAAGGTGCCAGGGAAGAAAATGCCCTTTCATTTGCTTTCCCATCTCATCTTTCAATACTATATAGCAGCCACGTCCAACTTCCAAGAGACTGCGATCTATTCCCACTATAAAAAAAACCGGCAGTGATCTACCCATTGGATTGATCAGAGTTGTTGAGCTTTTTTGGGGGGAGGATGAGCCAAAATTGTTGAGCTTATTGTGGGGGGCAATGAGCCGAAGTTGGTGGGTTGGGGGGGGGGCATGATCGACCGGTAGATAGCGATCGACCTGTTGGGCATCCCTGCTATATATGGTAGGGGGAGTTGCTTGATGAATCCCTGGAGTGTTCCACCCTAAACAGAACAGCCAGATCCTAATGAGGGCACTTGGAGGAAATGGCTGCTTTTCCTCTTCTCTGCACTAAAGAGGTAAACACGGCTGCTAAATGTTTAAGCAGGCGAGAAAGCATGAACCATTCCTCCCATACGTTTCACTGCTCCCTTGAACGTCTTTTCAATAATTAACTTGTACTCGACGTGGCCTTGTTTTCTAAAGCTTCTTTCACCTCCCCGATAACTCTTGTGGCTCAGAAGACACCGCTTTTCAGTTTTAGAGAATAATCCTTCAAAACATGTGTTATACACGGCGAGTGAATTGCACGTGTTACTTGCTAAGGGGGACTTACAACCGTGAGGGGCTAGGGTCTGGAAACATCTCTTTTACCAACTAGTTTCTGGGTTTTGAGGGAGGGTTTGTTACTGGGCCCCAGGTAAAAGGTGCAGGGAAGAGGGGAAAGTAAAACAATGGGAGAAATTCCATTCATGCAAGTCCAGTGGCATATAGTTCCTTATCAACAAGTGCCCACAGAAGATGAAAAAGGTGAGGACATACACTGCTAGCAGCTTCCTGCAGGTGTTGTCCTTACCTTACATTTTTTTTACCTCGCAGGTGATGTCCCTTTATCTTGCAATATACAAAAAAAAATTTTCTTGTGTCTTCTGGAAGCTGCTCTGTCCTCTTATCTCAGCTAACACTTCTTTATGACACGGAGTGTGTGAAGCAGATAACAGCTTGTCACCACTGCATAGCCATTAACATTGTCTGGGATTTTGTCTTAGAGAAGATTATGGAGATTTAAAAAAATTTAACATGTCTATATTTTTTCCTACTCCCCCCACCTTTTTTTGGAAGAAGCTGCTTGATTACGATGTTTGTCATCTCTGAGAAAGCAATAGCCTCTTTCGTGGGCTGAACAGGTTTATTTGCTTTCATTCCTGTTCTCCTCCTCCCTCTGCCAACTTGGCACAGAATGTGGCTTTGTTACAGCCCTTATCGAAAATTAACAGACCCAAATACACCATTCTTCCCTCACAACTCCCACTGTATTAGAAGCACATATCAAGATGGAAAGTGACTTGCTTATCCCATTAGTCTCTCCACTGTGGTAGAGGCAAATTATCTGATGATTATTCTGCTTCTCTTGCATGAATGACATGCCAAACGTGCTCCTGGGAGGAGAGGACCTGCAAAGCAAAGGAAGCAATTTGCAGGCTTCATTTAGGTTTCTCTAAAAAAACCCTGGACGAATCCTTCTACTAGAGTTTTGTCCCTTTATAAAGCGACTCCTAAACTTTATATGATGATTTGACTAGGCTTTTAAGATTATTTCAAACTTGATGACTTCAGTTTATTCTCTATTATTCAGAGGACTGAGAATGTGCTGCTTTTGGTATTCCACACAACAAGGC